TCACACGTCATGTGATTAACGGCCCTAAAATGGCTTACAGGCTTGCAGTGCCTTTTTCAAGATCACGGAAGATCACTAGAGCTGAACCTGAGTTAACAGTTGCTAGCAATGTTGCAGTATAGTTGACAGTACCTACTCCTGTAGTGAAGGCAGCATGTGCTTGTGGAGGTCTCCAGTTGTCCACAGTAGCCTAGTGAAGGCCGTCCACTGTGTAGGCCTATTGACACAATACACAAGTGGGGTGTGACTGCGTCTGGTTGTGTGGTCCTGGGGGAGAGAGTAATGTCCTGGGGGATCTTCCATGACGTGGTCAGGTCACCTGGATTTCTAGGACCACTTGGTGAGGTCTTACACCTCCCCCTCAAGCTGGGCCGGCACCTGAGGCTATTGAATATCTTATTGTTTCATCCCCCTGGGAGGTAGCCCCTGGGAGGTGGCCCCCTGGGAGGTGGCCCTCTGGGAGGTGGCCCCCTGGGAGGTGGCCCTCTGGGAGGTGGCTCTCTGGGAGGTGGCCCCCTGGGAGGTGGCCCCTGGGAGGTGGCCCCTGGGAGGTGGCCCCTGGGAGGTGGCCCCTGGGAGGTGGCCCCCTTGGAGGTGGCCCCCTTGGAGGTGGCCCCCTGGGAGGTGGCCCCCTGGGAGGTGGCCCTGGGAGGTGGCCCCCTGGGAGGTGGCCCCCTGGGAGGTGGCCCTCTGGGAGGTGGCCCCCTGGGAGGTGGCCCTCTGGGAGGTGGCCCTCTGGGAGGTGGCCCTCTGGGAGGTGGCCCCCTAGGAGGTGGCCCCCTGGGAGGTGGCCCCTGGGAGGTGGCCCTCTGGGAGGTGGCCCACTGGGAGGTGGCCCTGGAAGGTGGCCCAGAGTGTCACCCACACAAGGGGACCAGTGTCAGGGACCCTCAGGGACCCTCAGGGACCCTCAGGTGAGAAGCGGTGTGTGTGTGTGTGACGTCACAATCCCTCGTCCTCAGCGGACAATCGGTTAATTAGCAGGCAATTATGGGACCACTTGTACCGTAGGTCTGCGGTGCTGCGGGGTGCAGGGGGGGAAGACCTGGAGGACCAGGACCACGGTGGGAGGGGACCTGGAGGGCCAGGACCACGGTGGAGGGGACCTGGAGGGCCAGGACCACGGTGGGAGGGGACCTGGAGGGCCAGGACCACGGTGGAGGGGACCTGGAGGGCCAGGGCCACGGTGGGAGGGTACCTGGAGGGCCAGGACCACGGTGGGAGGGTACCTGGAGGGCCAGGACCACGGTGGAGGGGACCTGGAGGGCCAGGACCACGGTGGGAGGGGCCACCTGGAGGGCCAGGACCACAGGTGGAGGGGACCTGGAGGGCCAGGGCCACGGTGGAGGGGACCTGGAGGGCCAGGGCCACGGTGGAGGGGACCTGGAGGGCCAGGACCACGGTGGAGGGAACCTGGAGGGCCAGGACCACGGTGGAGGGGACCTGGAGGGCCAGGACCACGGTGGAGGGGACCTGGAGGGCCAGGACCACGGTGGAGGGGACCTGGAGGGCCAGGACCACGGTGGAGGGGACCTGGAGGGCCAGGGCCACGGTAGAGGGGACCTGGAGGGGCCCTGGAGGGCCAGGACCATGGTGGAGGGGACCTGGAGGGCCAGGACCACGGTGGAGGGGGACCTGGAGTGCCAGGGCCACGGTGGAGGGGACCTGGAGGGCCAGGGCCACGGTGGAGGGGACCTGGAGGGCCAGGGCCACGGTGGAGGGGACCTGGAGGGGCCCTGGAGGGCCAGGACCATGGTGGAGGGGCCCTGGAGGGCCAGGACCATGGTGGAGAGGGACGTGGAGGGCCAGGACCACGGTGGAGGGGGACCTGGAGTGCCAGGACCACGGTGGAGGGGACCTGGAGGGCCAGGGCCACCAGGGCACCATAATTGGTGCCTGGCGTGATGGTACTTAACGAGCGAGGTGCTCGTTAGGTCGTAATTGGATCAACATTTTTAATTTCAATTCGGCTTCAGGCGGGTGCCCACTTGGCGATAATTGGCTAGTTATGAGCTAGTTCTGGCGAAGCGCTACCGACATTTGGCGACAAGTTCGGCGAGTCTGGCGAGGTGGTGCGGTTAATTTGGCGCCACCTGGCACCAGGTGGCGCCGCCTGGCACGTGGCGCCGCCTGGCTGCGGAGACCTGCATCTGGAGTGGACTTGTTTGGTGGTATTTGGCGAGGTGCTTCTGTTTGGGCGAGGTGCTTCTGTTTGGGCGAGGTGCTTCTGTTTGGGCGAGGTGCTTCTGTTTGGGCGAGGTGCCTCTGTTTGGGCGAGGTGCTTCTGTTTGGGCGAGGTGCTTCTGTTTGGGCGAGGTGCCTCTGTTTGGGCGAGGTGCCTCTGTTTGGGCGAGGTGCTTCTGTTTGGACGAGGTGCCTCTGTTTGGGCGAGGTGCTTCTGTTTGGACGAGGTGCTCCTGTTTGGGTGAGGTGCTTCTGTTTGACCGAGGTTCCTCTGTTTGGACGAGGTGCTTCTGTTTGGGCGAGGTGCCTCTGTTTGGGCGAGGTGCCTCTGTTTGGGCGAGGTGCTTCTGTTTGGGCGAGGTGCCTCTGTTTGGACGAGGTGCCTCTGTTTGGGCGAGGTGCCTCTGTTTGGGCGAGGTGCCTCTGTTTGGGCGAGGTGCCTCTGTTTGGACGAGGTGCTCCTGTTTGGGTGAGGTGCTTCTGTTTGACCGAGGTTCCTCTGTTTGGGCGAGGTGCCTCTGTTTGGACGAGGTGCCTCTGTTTGGGTGAGGTGCCTCTGTTTGGACGAGGTGCCTCTGTTTGGGCGAGGTGCCTCTGTTTGGACGAGGTGCCTCTGTTTGGACGAGGTGCCTCTGTTTGGGCGAGGTGCCTCTGTTTGGGCGAGGTGCCTCTGTTTGGACGAGGTGCCTCTGTTTGGGCGAGGTGCCTCTGTTTGGACGAGGTGCCTCTGTTTGGGCGAGGTGCCTCTGTTTGGGCGAGGTGCCTCTGTTTGGGCGAGGTTCCTCTGTTTGGGCGAGGTGCCTCTGTTTGGGCGAGGTGCCTCTGTTTGGACGAGGTGCCTCTGTTTGGGCGAGGTGCCTCTGTTTGGGCGAGGTGCCTCTGTTTGGACGAGGTGCCTCTGTTTGGACGAGGTGCCTCTGTTTGGGCGAGGTGCCTCTGTTTGGGCGAGGTGCCTCTGTTTGGGCGAGGTGCCTCTGTTTGGGCGAGGTGCCTCTGTTTGGACGAGGTGCCTCTGTTTGGCCGAGGTGCTTCTGTTTGACCGAGGTGCTTCTGTTTGGACGAGGAAGTTCTACGTTTATCATTGTTCTGTCAGTCGTGACAAAAGGAACTTGATTAAGTTCGTTAAAACTCAAGTCTTCCGACGAGAGTACTCGCAGATTATTGCTATAGCCTGTTATAGTGTATAGTGAGGAGTGACTATATGGGGTTATCCTTTTGTATAGTTTCTATTTCCCCAACAGCCCAAGAGAGAGAGAGCTGGACGTTACCTTAGTCAAACATCATCTTTTATGTGGCCTGTTCCCTACCTGGGAACAGATTCACGAAGCAGTTACGCAAGCATCTGTCCATCTTTCCTCAATCTTTGGCGGCTTTGTTTACAGTTATTAAACAGTTAATGAACTCCGAAGCACCAGGAGGCTGTTTATAACAATAACAACAGTTGATTGGGAGGTTTTCATGCTTGTAAACTGTTTTATGTAACCAAAGCCGTCAAAAGTTGAGGAAAGATGTACACGTTCGTAAGTACTTGGGTAACTGCTTCGTGAATCCGGCCCCTGATCTACCTGAACAGGTAGATGCTGATCTACTTGTATCATCTGCCAAGAATGACATGGTACTATAGTTTGTGTCTGATGTTAGGATGAGAAAGTGTAATGGGGCAAGCACAGTGCCCTGGGGGACTGTGTGTGTGTGTATATAATGTTCATTATATATATATATATATATATATATATATATATATATATATATATATATATATATATATTATATATGGTGTATATATATATAATGTTATAATGTTCTGGCTCGTATCCTAACATACCAGGTATATAAACATTTATTAAATGGTATGGACTAAAGTATAAATTGTTATATGATGTATGATATACTAGACACTATATATATACACACGACTATACACGTCAACGCTCACAACGCTTCGTTAGACCTTATTTACACTATACATAGATATAACACATACACTTAGAGTATGATAAGTGTTGGGAGGCATGGTATAGGAGTATATAATTATTGTAATAAAATGGCGATAATTATATATATATATATATATATATATATATATATATATATATATATATTTATATATATATATATATATATATATATATATATATATATATATATATTAGTGATGCTAATATTTCCATTTCCATGGTTAAAAATTAATTATGGTGTAGGAGCTTAGGTGGTGTAAGTCCAACCTCTTAAAAATAACGTCGCTTTTGGCCGTATGGCCGAAAGTGGACGTAATTTGAAAATGAAAAAAATGAAATTTGAGATTTTTTTCTCAACAACAGTAAGCTAAAGGTTCCTCTGATAGGTTAGGTGGGCAGGAAATTCTCATAAAGTTTCAAAACGCTATGAAAACGTTAATTGAAAACCAACGTTTCGGTCCGTCCTGGACCATTCTCTAGTCGATTATGGGACCGAACGTCCGACCTAACGGACCGAAACGTCGTCGTCCCGTCATTTTCTAGCGTGTGGATTGGTCAACATACATCAGCCACGGTATTGTGACTCATCGCCTGCACATGTCAATTGAAAGTTTCCTCTCCTAACCTCTCCGAGTAAGCCGGGCGACTCAAACAGAAAACGGGACAGTACGTCACTTTCGTGAGCCGATTTCCATTTCAAATTACGTCCACTTTTTGGCCAAGAGCGACGTTATTTTCACGAGGACGGGTTCTGGTGAGAGGTGTGGTGTGGACAGGTGTGGACTGGTGTGGGCGTGGGTAAACAGGTGTGGACTGGTGTGGGCGTGGGTAAACAGGTGTGGACTGGTGTGGGCGTACCTGAGTAAAAGAGAAGTATTGAAGCGATGACTTGCAAGAGGAGACACTGGCGGTGGGCGGCCGGGAGCTGCATCTTGGTGAGTAGTGATGACCTGAGGAGGGAGAGCACCGGTCAGTCTTGGTGAGAGAGAGGGAGAGAGAGAGAGAGTGAGAGAGAGAGAGAGAGAGAGAGAGAGAGAGAGAGAGAGAGAGAGAGAGAGAGAGAGAGAGAGGGAGAGGGAGAGAGAGAGAGAGGGAGGGAGAGAGGAGAGTGGGAGACGGAAAAGAGATACATATTGATTATTATTCTGCGCATTAAACGTTTTTATATTATTTTTGTATAAACACATTGAGGTACACCTGCATTTATGGAGCCACCCTAGACTAATATATATATATATATATATATATATATATATATATATATATATATATATATATATATATATATATATATATATATATATTTATATATATATTTATATATATATTTATATATATATTTATATATATTTATATAAGGTAAAGGAGGTACATTGGGTTGTGAGGGTACATAAGAGTGATGTTTGAGCGTTACATTCTTGCAAAGCCTCTAAGACGGCCAGCGTGCAGGGAGTACAGTGTGTGTCAAGAACTAGCTACATGGTGCTAAAAGTCTTCTTCTCGCAGGATGGTTGTTCGTGTGATCAGTAGGCTTGTGGCTTGGGGTATTATGAGTCGCTGTGTCCAGCGGTCAGGTCACCCTGCCTCAGACTTTGATAACATAGTCCCAACAGACGGCTAGTCGGCAGCTCAGCAATTACTCACATAGTATTGTAATGTTATGCTGTCCTCTCCAGGAATGGCAGACTTACCTTTCTTGAGTGCCATTTTAATTTCAAAAAGAGTTCTGTCATAGTTATCATCTGGACCTATTCCTCTACAAGCAGTTTCAAAGTTGAAGTTACGATTTCCACGCCAGATGGGGTTGTATATCAAGGAGGTATTTTGTATTTGGCAGTGTTGTGTATTATATTGTTATTAACACATTTAGGTACATCTGCATTTGTGAAGCTGTATTTATAGAATTTATTGAAGCTGTATTTATTTATAGAAGTGTCTAAAATAAAACTCTACGGTGAGAGCCATCCAGGTTTAACTATCGTTATTCCATTACATTCAAGATTGTAATAAAGACATAATGGTTACATCAATAACACAAGAGACCCTGAAGTGGAAGATGAGGGTCTAAACACTTACAAGAGGACCTCAAGCGGTACTACAGGCTGCTTTCAAGAGCTTCAGGTAAAAGGAATTTGTAAACATTGTTAACCCCTAAGAAACAGATCAATTTTTAATATTTTTTAAGAAGTGTTGAAGGACAGTTTTGAGCGGATGTGTCCTGTGTCCCAGTGTCCTAGTGTCCCTGTGTCCTAGTGTCCCTGTGTTCTAGTGTTCCTGTGTCCTAGTGTCCCTGTGTCCTATGGTCTTAGCGTCCTAATGCCCAAGTATCCTTGTGTCCCAGTGTCCTAAAGTCTTACGGTTCTTCCCCGTGTCCTAGTGTCCTTCCCTTGTCATGCTCAAGAATGTGTACCAGTACACACTTAAGGGTCAGGTTGAAGGTTGGCCCAGTACACACTTAAGGGTCAGGTTGAAGGTTGGCCCAGTACACACTTAAGGGTCAGGTTGAAGATTGGCCCAGTACACACTTAAGGGTCAGGTTGAAGGATTATCCAGTACACACTCAAGGGTCAGGTTGAAGGATGGCCCAGTGCACACTTGAGGGTCAGGTTGAAGGTTGGCCCAGTACACACTCAAGGGCCAGGTTGAAGGTTGGCCCAGTACACACTTAAGGGCCAGGTTGAAGGTTGGCCCAGTACACACTTAAGGGTCAGGTTGAAGGTTGGCCCAGTACACACTTAAGGGTCAGGTTGAAGGTTGGCCCAATACACACTTAAGGGTCAGGTTGAAGGTTGGCCCAGTACACACTTAAGGGTCAGGTTGAAGGCTGGCCCAGTACACACTTAAGGGTCGGGTTGAAGGTTCGCCCAGTACACACTTAAGGGTCAGGTTTAAGGTTGGCCCAGTACACACTTAAGGGTCAGGTTGAAGGTTGGCCCAATACACACTTAAGGGTCAGGTTTAAGGTTGGCCCAGTACACACTTAAGGGTCGGGTTGAAGGTTGACCCAGTACACACTTAAGGGTCAGGTTTAAGGTTGGCCCAGTACACACTTAAGGGTCGGGTTGAAGGTTGGCCCAGTACACACTTAAGGGTCAGGTTTAAGGTTGGCCCAGTACACACTTAAGGGTCGGGTTGAAGGTTCGCCCAGTACACACTTAAGGGTCAGGTTGAAGGTTGGCCCAGTACACACTTAAGGGTCAGGTTGAAGATTGGCCCAGTACACACTTAAGGGTCAGGTTGAAGGTTGGCCCAGTACACACTTAAGGGTCAGGTTGAAGGTTGACCCAGTACACACTTAAGGGTCAGGTTGAAGGTTGGGTCAGGTTTAAGGTTGGCCCAAGGGTTTGGCCCAGTACACACTTAAGGGTCAGGTTGAAGGTTGGCCCAGTACACACTTAAGGGTCAGATTGAAGTTTGGCCCAGTACACACTTAAGGGTCAGGTTGTAGGATGTCGCTTGAGGGTTAGAGAGGAAAACTAAAAGCTTGCTTCAGGTGACACTCAAGGGGAGGGAGGGGGGGGGGGGGGGTTACCAGGGGCCGCTTGGTGGCCGGATATAATTAGATACAACGGACAAGTTAAGGAAAGTTAGAGAAAGATATGAAATTACGGACAGAGTCGATTATGAGTTTACAAGTTTTGCTAAGGCGGGTCCCAGCTCCCTCTCAACTTCTCTAACTCCAACATCAATGAGAATTACCCCGAGTTATCGAGACTGTGGGGGGGTGGGGGGTCGGTGTGGGGGTGGGGAGGGGTTTGTGTGGGGGTGGGGAGGGGTTTGTGTGGGGGGGGGGCGTAGGCGACATACCTGAACAGATCGTAAAATCCGAGATTTTAGGTAATTAAGTGAATACTTCTCCCACACCCGGTCCTCCCACACCTGGCCCTTCTCCCACACCTGGCCCTTCTCCCACACCTGGCCCTTCTCCCACACCCACAGAAGCCTCCCTCCCTCACCCCAACACTCTCCCCCAATAACGTGTGGTTCTGTTCCTGTCCTCCCAATTATACGCTCTTGTCCAAACGCAGAGCTGCTTCCTCTTCCTTCAATTCCTCAGTCTCTTCCACCCACTCTCATCTCTTCCTCTATAATTTCAGCACCTCCGTTTCCCCTCTCCCCGACCATTCCTGAAGCTGCCTCCCTTCCCTATCCCTCTCTCCCTCCTTATCTCCACACACTAAATCCCCCCATCATTCTTTCACGTAGTCTCTTCCTCCTCCTTCCATCCCGCTGTTATCATCCCTATAATCTCACTCCATAGCGTCCTTACCCGTCCCGCCTCAGCAATCCCCCCCATCCCTCACCCCCCTCCCCCTCCCCCTTCACCCCCAGCAGGCCACAACAACACAGTGGACCAGCTCAGGCTAGACCGAGTTAAAAGATCCGACCAACGTTTGTGTAAGAGGATTGCTGCGGATTTACCTGCACAAGAAGCACTATATTCGCTGCACTTTTGTGTGAGCAGGAACCGGCGGGTTCTAGACAGCGTATCTGGCGGATTGGAGAGATTGACAGCTAACGAACGGCACGATAAAGAGGAAGGTTGTGTGTGTGTGTGTGTGCTCACCTAGTTGTACTCACCTAGTTGTGTTTGCGGGGGTTGAGCTCTGGCTCTTTGGTCCCGCCTCTCAACCGTCAATCAACAGGTGTACAGATTCCTGAGCCTATCGGGCTCTGTCATATCTACACTTGAAACTGTGTATGGAGTCAGCCTCCACCACATCACTTCCTAATGCATTCCATTTAGTGTGTGTGTGTGTGTGTGTGTGTGTGTGTGTGTGTGTGTGTGTGTGTGTGTGTGTGTGTGTGTGTGTGTGTGTGTGTGTGTGTGTGCGTGTGTCCGCTGCGCATCAAATGAGTAGGATGTCAACTGAGCTGAATGACAGCCGTAGGTCCAGAGTAGATGTCACCCTGGGGCTACCTGATGCTATCTGGGGCTACCTGGGGCTGCCTGATGTTTTCTGGGGCTACCTGATGCTTCCTGGGGCTACCTGATACTTCCTGGGGCTACCTGATGCTTCCTGGGGCTGCCTGATGCTTCCTGGGGCTACCTGATACTTCTTCGGGCTACCTGATGCTACCTGGGGCTACCTGATGATTTCTGGGGCTATCTAGGGCTACCTAAGGCTACCTGATACTTCCTGGGGCTACCTGATGCTTCCTGTGGCTACCTGATGCTTCCTGGGGCTACCTGATGCTCCCTGGGGCTTCCTGGGGCTACCTGATGTTACCTGGGGCTACCTGATGCTACCTGGGGCTATCTGATGTTACCTGGGGCTATCTGAGGCTTCCTGGGGCTGCCTGATGCTTCCTGGGGCTTCCTGGGGCTCCCTGATGCTACCTGGGGCTACCTGATGCTTTCTGGGGCTACCTGATGCTTCCTGGGGCTACCTGAGGCTTACTGTGGCTACCTGATGCTACCTGGGGCTACCTGACGCTACCTGGGGCTGCCTGATGCTTCCTGGGGCTGCCTGATGCTACCTGGGGCTACCTGATGCTATCTGGGGCTACCTGATGCTACCTGGGGCTGCCTGATGCTACCTGGGGGCTACCTGATGCTACCTGGGGCTACCTGATGCTACCTGGGGATACCTGATGCTACCTGGGGCTACCTGATGCTACCTGCGGCTATCTGGGGCTACCTGATGCTACCAGGGGCTGCCTGATGCTACCTGGGGCTGCCTGATGCTACCTGGGGCTACCTGATGCTACCTGATGCTACCTGGGGCTCCCTGGGGCTACCTGATGCTTCCTGGGGCTACCTGATGCTTTCTGGGGCTACCTGAGGATACCTGATGCTACCTGGGGCTACCTGATGCTACCTGGGGCTACCTGGGGCTACCTAGAACTGCCTGATGCTTCCTGGGGCTTCCTGGGGCTGCCTGATGCTACCTGGGGCTGCCTGATGCTACTTGGGGCTACCTGATGCTCCCTGGGGCTACCTGATGCT